AGGGAGCGGAGAGGAGCAGGAGAGGACCAGGGGAAGGCGGAGACGGGGACACGAGGGAGCCGGCAAAGATGAAAAAAGGGCTCGGACCCAGAAAAGTGGCCCGCGCGGGGGCGAGTTACCCGCTCGGAGCGAGGGGGCGCAGCGTCGAGCCGGAAATGGGGCCCCCGCTGCTGCAGGAGCACCATCTGGAAACACCAGAAACAGTGGGACTGCAGCCAAAAGAGGAAACACCAGCTTGTGACATCCTGATTCGACAGAATGCGCGGAGAGGGCCGGAGATCTTCCGGACAGAGTCCGTCGAGAGACAGAAATGTAGTGTTCATAATGTGCAATGTTAGAGGCGGCCGTGCGGCGCGGGGGTGGCGACCCAACCGTACCATGCGCACTGAGAACACTGGAGCTGCGTGGACAGGTGGAAGGGGAGGAGGTAGCGGACGAGCAGGAGGACGAACAGGAGGAAGGGATTGCGAGCTGCGAGCCACCCCACGAAGTGGTCGAAACGACCTACCAGCGGCGCTGCTGCTCAGCCCTGTTCAGAAGCTTGGGCCACGTACCCTCGATCAACCTGGATAAGTACTCCTTCCTACGAGGAGCAATCGTATTCGTACAGGCCCTGTCCAATCCTCTGATCTGAGAGAGCGCGCTTATTGGCCACATCCCGTGCAAAACCAAACCTTCTGGGCATACGACAAACGCATCCTGTGAGTACGAACAGCAGCAGGGGACTCGGGGGCGGCCAAGAGGGGGGGCACAAATCATGGCCGGTGGCATGTGCGCGGCCCAAGGGGGGGGCCGGCGACGTAATGAAATACGAAGAGGCGCCATGAAATCTGAAGATTTATCATGGCCCACGCCGTGACATCCACACACACCCTAGTCATCACCCCCCTCTTGGCCACCCCCGAGCTACGGGGGTTTGGACACCCGACATGGGCACGGAAAAGATGGAAACAGTGCCCAACAACAACTGTTGCCCCAAACCAACAGCGGCCGCTGTTGGGTAGGCGGCCTTCTGTCTCGAATGGACACAGGCCGCGTCGGCGCGGACAGCGAGTCCGGCTCAAAATGAACAGGAGCTGCTGTTGGGCATTGTACCCGATATTTCCGTACCCATTTCGTTCGTGCCGAAGGGAGGGGGAGGAGATGCGGCCGTGCGGTGCGCCGCCGGGCCCCTCCGGGGGGGGCACGAGAGGCCGCGGGGGTCCTCGGCGCAAGGACGCCCGCGGGCCCGAGGGGGCCTGCGAGGCGGGAGCGGCCCCCGCAGGCGCAAGGCTGCCCAAAGGGTCTAAGCCAGGGGTGGACCTAAACGGTGTTTTGGCGATTTCGTGGGCCGTTTTCGTTTCGATGTCGTTTTGCGCTAAAGGCGGATTGAGGACAAAGGAGAGGGGAAACGAAAACAAAACGAAAACGAAAAACACCGTTTACGTTACCCCTGGTATAAGCGGCCCGGGGGGGCACGGACACGCGCAAATCGACACACGATCCAGGGCTCCCCATCTTCCCCCAACATTGTGATGTTCCAACCTACTTTAGCCTTGACCACCAGAAAGAATTTTGAGCCCCAAGACAATACCGAAACTGGAGAGTTTTCACATGTCGGGCCCTGGGAAGCGATACCCGTTCGACAGTGTTTTGATACTTTTCTGGGTGCTCCAGATTATTTCTGGGATGTGGCCGTTTAAGTGCGAAAAGTTCTTGTTTGCCTTCTGTTGAGCAGGCGCCGACCGTCCCGGCATCCCTATAGGCCTACCACGACATGTTCTTAGAACCCAGAAGTGATCTAAGCACAACAAGCCATGTTCTGAGAACACAAACCCGACGTGTTACAACAAGACAACCTCGGCCAAACATCTTCTAAGAACATTTCGTGCAAACCACAAGAGGTTCTTAGAACATGCTTTGGTGGGCCTATACAATGCGGGCGCGGCCGCAAGAAACCCTCGTACAAAAAGAACCCAACCCTGAACACCCGCGCGCGAGGTACACCTGAGGGGAAACCCGGAGCACCCTGAACGCAGCAGCTCTTTCAACGGTTGCGGGAAGTCACCGCGTAGCGCGAGGAGCGAAGAAGCCCAGGACACCCCGACGAAAAGCAGACGGTTTCTTGATGCGCGCCCCCGCTGTAAGCTCGCCAGGACGCTTCGCCACTGCTTGACCAATGTCGCCCCGGCCGCCGCGTGGCCGCCCATCGCCGCCGCTGTCGCCGCTGGCAGCCGAGCTCCGGCGCAGCCCCGGCTGGCTCGTCGCCGCCCGTCGCCGCTGGTGACTGAACCTCGTCGCCGCCCGTCGCCGCCCGCAGACGCCGCCGCCAATGGTCGCACTACTCCACATCGTTTCGCATTCCTCTGTGCTGCTTCGCACGGCGCTGCATTTGGAATTGCTGTGTCGCGCTGCATTGGCTTGCATTGCCTTGCATCGCTCTGCGCTTCAAGATTCTCCTTTCTAACAAGAGAATAGACGCTACCCCCCCCCGGACTTAACGCTTCCCCCTGGGATGATATCACTTCATATATATATATATAGATTCTGCACATGCGTCCATCCTAATATGAAATCATATCATCCCAGCCAAACCGGTATCCCCCTCCTGAGGTTCCCTTGTACAAAACACAATGCGGTGACATTTTTTGTTCTAACATCGCACTTTTCCGCGAATCCCTTGCAAAAAATGAGACGAAGTGCGCACGCGCGCGTCGTCGCGCGCGCATGCCGAAATCCTTCAAAAACCTTCGGTGCCGGAAGGATTTCGCAATCGAGTTTCCAAAACACATACAAAAACACACGGTTTCGCAACACTGATTTGCTAAAAAACGCTTCCGCGCGAACTTTTGCGAAATCTTGAGAAAACCATGGGTTTTCAAGATTTTCACAAAATGCTACCAAACGGGCGTCGCGCGCGCATGTCGAAATCTGTCGAACGCCCTTGCGCGTGTGCCGTCGCGAGAATCCTCTGCAAAAAATTGGACGAAGTGCAGACGCACGCGTCGTCGCGCGCGTACGCCGAAATCCTTCAAAACCCATCGGTTTCGGAAGGATTTCGAAATCGCGCGTCCAAAAAACCTACAAAAACCCAAGGTTTCGCAACAAGGATTTTCAACAAAAGCGTGCGCGCGCGCTCTTGCGTCGTCGTCGTCGTCGTCGCCGTCCTCCCTCCTCCCGCGTCGTCGTCGTCGTCGCCTACGTCATCCTCTGTCTTTCCTCGTGTTCGTCGTCGTCGTCCTCTTTGGCGTCGTGGTCGTTTCCGTCGTCGTTGTCGCCGTGGTCGTCCTTCCTCCTCCTCCCTCGTCGTCGTCGTCGTCCGTCGTCGGCGTCTCGTCGTCGTCCCTCCTATTTCGTCGCCGTCGTCGTCGTCGTGTCGTCGTCGTCTTCCCTCCTCCCTCGTCGTTGTCGTCGTCGGCGTCGCCGTCCTTCCTCCTTCGTCGTCGTTCGCGTCGTCGCCGTCCTCCCTCCTCCCTCGTCGTTGTCGTCGTTGTCGTCGTTGTCGCCGTCGTCGTCCTTCCTCCTCCCTCGTCGTCGCCTTCGTTGGCGTCGTCGTCGTCTTCGTCGTCGTCGGCGTCGTTGTTGTCGTCGAAGTCGTCGGAGACGTCGTCGGTGTCGTCCTAGTCGTTGTCGTCGGTGTCGTTGTAGTCGGTCTGAAGAGGTTTTGCAAACCAAGTTGCGGGTGGGTGGGTGGGATGTTTGCGCGAGCAGCGGAGAGGACAGCTTCAAGACGGTCAAAGTGGATTGCACCACTTAGATTGCGCCACCTCGATTGCGTCGCATACGCTGCAAGGAATCATTGTTTGGGGACCACGCTGGCTTTCTAGGTTTCCTGACTTTTCCTTTTCCTTTCCAACTCCCATCTTTCCACATTGTGATGGAAATCAAAGTTAGCCAGCGTGGGCCCGAAACAGTGACTTCTTGCAGGTGCAATCCAGGTGATGCTTTCAATGCGGTGCAATCTACGTGGCCCAGAGCACAGCAAAGCCATGCATTGAAATGCAACGCAATTCAGTGCAAAGCAGTGCAGCACATTGCACAGCAATGCAACGCAATGCACAGCAATGCATCTCAAAGCAACGCAATGCAATGCATTGCAGAGCAATGATATGCCAACCAATTGCAAAGCAATGCAACCCAATGCAACGCAATGCCAATCAATGCAAACCAATGTAAAGCAATGCATTGCAAAGTACTGCAATGCAATGCAATGCATTGCATTGCGAGGCAATGCAAAACAATGCACAGCAATGCAGAGCGATGCATCACAATGCGTTGCAATGCCAAGCAATGCAAATCAATGCAATGCTCAACATCGTGACTCGAATGGTGCGGCGACGGACAGCGGCGACGCGCGGCCACCAGCCGGCCTGACCAGCGCTCAGTCCCAGCTGCGAGCCTCGCGCCCTCAGAACCGCGACCAAAACTGGTGCGGCGACACTCGGCGGCCACGGGCGGCCAGCTGGCTGGACATCCAGGAACACGATTTTGCTTGTGCGAGGGCCTGGCTGTCGGTCTCTCGCCGGCTCGTGGCCGCCCGTCGCCGCCGTCCTTGGTCAGGCGAGGGTCGCACTTTACATTGCATTGCATCGTGCCGCGTGTACTGCACCGCCTGGATTGCACCGCATTGATTGCACTACCTCGACTGCGCCGCACAGATCGCAAGACAGCACTACTTTGGTTCCACGCTGGCTGGCATTGTGTTTGTATCGGTTGACCCCTCCTGAATGCTAACGAGGGTCCCGAGAATTCGTTATGAGTGCTTTTGAGAGGCGAAACAACACTTGGAAACCAAGCGGGCTCAACGTTTTCTTGCCTGTCGCCCGTGTCATCCCCTAAGGCGGCTCGGAATATTTCCGCGCCCGTTGAGCAACCACAATCTTAGTCTACTTCAAGGCGGCCCCACCGACGTGCCGACAAGTGTACGGAACTGACTAGCTCGTGCGCGGAACGGGTGCTCCGGAGGGAGAGGTGGAAAGTGACGAGGAGCAGCATCTATTCTCCTCCTTGACCCCTCCGACCCTTCTCGCAAGAACTGAACCGCGTCCCTGTAGTGGTTCATCGTCAGGCCAGAACCAACCTGCACCCAACTTCCCCCCATTGCCTCTTTCTCCGACCCCTCCCACTTCAACCCGTGGCCCCTGTCTTCCCTCTGCTGTTGCACTCTGGGTCAGAGGTGGCCTTGCCGAGATACGCGTCAGGGGAGCAACCTCTCAATTGCCGTGCAAATATCAAGCGATGCTGTAGTCAATGCTCGATTTTTCGAATAAGCGGTCGGCTGCTACCTGAGAATTAAAATCCCTGCCCCATTTGAGAAGGGTAGTCATGGCTTCTCATTGCACTAGACATGCCGTGGCACCACTCTGCGAACTGAAACAATATCATTGCCACGCGTTCGCTGGGGAGTCCTGAGCATTGCGATTCGCGTGCTCATGCTGATCGTATGCCGAGCCCGCTTGCACCGGGATCGTTACCAAAACAACTCGGGATGGAAAACAACTCCCAGGGGAAACCTTGAACAATCTGGTGTCGGGACGCGCTTCCCCGAAGACTCCTGTCCTTCGGGCCAACTCTACCGATTGCGCCGCTTCCTCGAGTCGTGGGGCCTCAATCGTGCCCCTCCCTGTCCCGCCTGCATTGCGGTGCCGTTCTGCGCGACCCACTCGTCGTATGTGTGGATGAGCTTCACCTTCCCCGATCCTTACATTGAGCGCCCCGTCCCGATCAGGGTGGCAATCGCATCCCAAGAACACGCGCGCACGAATGCACGCACG